ATAATGACATTATATGACAACAATGTTTGTAATAAAATAATAATTAAGTATGATATGATGAACAAGAATATATAAAACTTTTATTTTCTCTTATAACAAGGAGTAAATATATATACTAATATCAATTTTATATTATTTTAAATGTGTTAGTGAGATAATATATTAATTAATTTACAGGCTAGCTCTAACATGCTCATATTTAATGTTTTGGTTAGAAAAACAATGCTAATTAAAAGGGGTAGAAAATAGATGATCCAGCGCTATTGTTTTTTAGGTTTAAACGGATATTCTGTGAAAATGACTCATTTAATATACGTGTCTCGTGTATCGCACGGGCTACGTACTAGTTAACCGGTATAAGAAAAAAAAAGTATAATAATTAAATGTGATGTATATGAAAATAATAAAATATTTAATAATTGATTGTTCAAAATATATAAGTACGTAAGATTTCTAGTATTGATTTATTTTTATTTTTAAAATATATTTATGAGATTTAAGAGAAAAAAAATTAAGATAGAAAAAATATTTTACTTTTTGAAAATATTTTTGTCCACATACAATTTCATCGATCGAGAAAGAAGTCTGGCCAAACGAAAATTAATTTTTTTCTGTATCCAATCATCTTTCTATTTGTTTTTTCCAATAATAATGGAATTGATTACTAAATCTCAGTCAAGTTGCAATAGATTATATATAGTTAAAACTTGAATTTTCACTTTCTCAGATTTTTTTTTTTATTTTTTTTTAATCTCAAAAGTATCAAGGACGAATGCAAATTCTTTGTGCTAATAGAATCCAGGTGTTTGTCATTTACGCATATATATGTTCACATAACTTTGAAATTTGGAATGCATTTCTACTGATGGCTAATAATGATTTGAGATTCATCGTGTTATTACTACTATCCTGAGCCTCATTGGTATGTCATTAGAATTTCCAATTTATTTGGTCCAAACAGAAATCCTTTCATGATTATGTAGTACAAGAATGATATATAAATCAATGCACCCAAGAAGAAACAAATATTATTAATTAATTCCACTTGTGGTTTGAGCAACTATGATAATAATCTTCTCACATGGAAGACATTATTTGATGACAATTAATAAAAATAAAAGTATTTGAGAAGCGGCTTACTATAGTTGAATCCGAGTCGATAATTGAAAGCAAAATAATTAATGGACTACTGGGCTGATGCTAGTGAGTCCCTATTATGTTGGAAAGGGGAGATGTCTAAGCCGAAAAGTAACCGACAGAAGCTACAGTCGCCATTTCTAAATTAGAATATAATTTATAAAGTGTATATAATTTGTAAAGTAACAATACAATTTCTATTGTGAAAATTTCCTGGCACATGCCAAGCATTAATCAGGATTCAAGAAGTATATTATGATATTTGTTAAACAATCAAGAGGGATGGGCCCCTGTCATTTGTGAAAGAGAACTTAAAAATGATAATGCAGATTGAGTTGAACAGTTAGTTATTAGAGTCCACTAGTATTCATCTGGTGCAAAATAAAAAAAAAAAATTATATATTATATGTATGTATGTATACAATAACAAAATTTTATATTAGATAATGATTGTATTACATTTTAAATTAATCTTTATATTGATGTCATAAACTTTAATGAATAATATAATTTAGTAATTTAGAGGGACCATACAATTAATTAGTTAGAAAAGTATTACAATTATTTTTATCATTGTTATAGCAGTTGTTTATGTGATTTTAAAGTGTTTAATTATGACACTCATGCCAATTAACTAATATTAGATAAAAAATCATTTAAAAAGTCAATAAATATTTTATTTTAGAAAAAGTATTTTAAAGAAAAAAAAATTGCAATACAATTTTTTATAAGTATGTAACTTCCACATACTATTTAATGTAAAATTATAATCAGTTAGTGTTAGTAGTAATATTATATAATAAATTAGTTTAAAATTGTTACTACACTTTACTTGTTAGAGTATCATTTGTGAGTTGTCCCACATTGTTCATACATGGAAAATAGACCCACTTTATAAGTCTAATGGACTACTCCTTCTTCCACCAATTGGTTTTGGGATAGAACCCCATTTGGGCTTCATATGCGTTTTTCCCCATTCATGGTGCGCTTCATGATAGTGGGCATGCACCCGTTTTCCCCTAGTTTCTGGCATGGTATCAGAGTCGGTCCCCATTCATGGCGCGCTTCATGATAGTGGGTCTGCACCCGTTTTCCCCTAGTTTCTGGCATGGTATCAGAGTCGGTCCCCATTCATGGTGCGCTTCATGATAGTGGGCCTGCACCCGTTTTCCCCTAGTTTCTGGCATGGTATCAGAGTCGGTTCTATGTGGTTCCCCATTCATGGTGCGCTTCATGATAGTTGGCCCGCACCTATTTTTTCCCAGTTTCTGTCATGGTATCAGAGTCGGTTCTATATGGGACCGTGCGATGACGTGCCCGTTTATCCCCCACGTACTCGTATATGGAAGCCTGTTTTTAGTAGGGCTTGGGGCACCCAGCTCCGTATATGGGCTTGGACTTTCAAAGGACTCCTAAGTGAGGGGGCGTGTTAGAATATCACTTGTGAGTTATCCCACATCGTTCGTACATGGAAAATAGACCCACCTTATAAGTCTAATGGATTACTCCTCCTTCCACCAATTGGTTTTGGGATGGAACCCCACTTGGGCTTCATATGAGTTTTCCCTACTTATGGTGCACTTCATGTTAGTGGGACCGCACCCGTTTTCCCCCAATTTCTGCTTTATTAATGTAAAATGTAACGTTTCTACATTAATTGAAAAAAATGAGTAGGAAAATTATGAAAGTTTTATTAATTAGGTTTTATTTATTGCTCTGCCAGCAATTATATATATCTATAGATTTCAACATAATGAGATAAAGCATGAAAAATATGGCTCCCTTTGATCATAAGGGTCGAATGTATAATTGAAACANATATATCTTTTAATCAAATTTGAATCCAAACGTTTAAATACAACTCGGTTGCAGACTAACTCTCATGCGTCATTGAAATGCTCTAAAGTAATATATCTTTCAATCAAATTTGAATCCATACGCATCTATATCTATATATATATAATTACTAGCTAAAAACATTTAATAAAACCTATTTAATTTTACTTATGTGGCAATATAACAATTTTCCTCCAAAAGCCGTTACTTTGAATTTATTTAACATTTCATTTAATTATTAGATAATTAACAAACTAATCACTTCAAAATTACAAAAATCATTTTAAAATTTTGATTACTGATAGTTGACCATATAACGTGTTGACCGTATAATGTGATTAGATATTATTATGGTTACATTTAATTTTTTATTTTTTTTGAAAAACAAAAAAAAAATTGAAATTCCTAAATAAATAATAAATAATTAAAAGATACATATCAAAATATACATTTCATTCAATCTGATAAATACAATTTAAAAAAAAAATATTCCAGTTCTTTTAATTGTAAATTTGACCGGCAAAAAAAATAAAAGCAAAATCATTAATCATTATATGAATACAAATAACTCACAATACTTTATTTACATATGTGCAAATGCACATGATCAAAATCTAGTAAATAATTAAATACAACACCGTTGCGAACTAACTCTCATGTGTCCTTGAAATGCTCTCAAGTCATCAACTGGTTATCATACGTTGGAGATGGAAAACATATAGCAGTCTATGCCTTTTACTAGCTAAGCCAAACTAGAATCAAGTGATTTATCAAACCAACCCATCAAATGAAATCAAATAAACTCGTAATGTTCAACTGTCCAAGAAAAAAATTGGCCTGACATGCTTCATTTTCCGGCAAGATTTTCTCAGTGGGAATACAAAACTGAGGACCAGTATTGTCAGGATCTCTTAGTTGTTTCAAGGTTTGAAGTTTCTGGTTTGCTGCTTTGTTGGATCTATATGCTGTAGGGAGTTGCTCGTGTGCCGACTTTCGTGGTGATGCGTTATGCCTGTTAGGTGTAAGGGAGGTCTTAGTTTATTTGTACGTTAAGTGTGCGTTTTTCTTTGTTATTCACTTTGTTTGTCCAACTTCGTCTGGTTTAGACTCCATGGAGTTTAAGTCACTTTTATGGAGTTTTGTTTTGAGTTTGTGGTTGTCTCCTTGATGAGTTGTACCCAATGTTCTGAAAACCGAACCGTTCATCGAACCGGTAAAGCTATCGGTTCAATGGTTCACTGGTCGAACCAGTGGTCGAACCGGTTTAATTAATATATAATTATTTTATTTATTTTATATGTACAATATATAATTACATATATTTTTATCATTAGTTTTATAGTGTATAATGACATTTCTCTATACATAAAATAATTGTATTTATTTTTTATCATTTGTTTTATATGTATAATATATAATTATATGTATTTTTACCATTATCAAATTAAACGTTAAAGTGTTAAGTAAGGTTTGCATTTATTTTATAAATTGTGAATTTGTAATAATAATATAATATATGATTTTTATTTTTATTTTTAAGTTGTGCTTTTAGTTTTGAATTTTGAGAAAGGTTTGGATATGAAACACCTTGTACATTTTAAGTTTTTTAATTATTAAAGTATTTGCCGCTTCAAAAAAAAAATATTGTCAGAAACCGAAAACATTAGTCTTTCAGACTCTTCATAGCAATACTTCATTGATGAAATCAAAATATCACAAAACCGAACTCCACACATTGAAATTGCTATCATAATTGTATCTGCTTTTAGATGAAATTCAGCTCTGTTTAATTGTAAGAATCCAAGTATTGGCAAAGAAATTAAAGAAAACATTATACAAACCTCATATTCATATACAACATATTCTACCCTTCTGCTTTCATTTTCTTTTTTGTTTTCTCGTGTATGTGTTCGCCTGTGGAATGCTATTTTTTTTTTCTTCTTTTTTTGGGAGGGGAGGGGGGCTGTTCTCGGTAAATATATCTCATCTGTGGTAGTTAATAAAGATCATGCTCCAAAACAAATAGAAACACACAGAGTCAAGATTTCCACTTTCCACTATTGAGAAACCGATGGCAATAACATAATGAAAATGAAGTTGAAATGATCGAATCAAAATTTCATAACTACTCCCGAATATTAAGCAGTAGCTGTATCTAAGTCGCACATATTTTAGAAAACAGAAAAATCTAATAGTCGATATTACATACTAGATAGTTTGTGCCTTTCACTTCCGGAACATCCTCTTACAAAACCTATGATTCAAAAAACGCTTGAACGGAAACAAGAGAGGTCGGTGACGAGAATTTCGTTTCCTTCTTCTTCCTACAAAAGATAAGAAAAGCACGAAAGTTAGTCATAATGGTGTCTTACAGAATTATATATATTACTGTACTGGAACAGATGATACAAACATAGCCCCTTAGTAAGGCAGGCATCATTGGCATGCCAGAGTAATAAGCAAAACAATTTTAGTTTTGACGCAGAAAATGAAAAAGAAGTGTAAAGCATTTTCAAGGTAAAACTAATAATAGACAGAACAGAACAATACCTGCTCGACATTCAATAAGGCCTCGATAATTATTAGTGACAGAATCCAATTGCATCCTCTCTTCCACCACAAGATTGGGAATTGGATCATTAACATCTGCTTCTAAATTTACGAGTCCCGCGGTGGGAAAGCCATCAGATAACTCAACTGTAAAATGATTATTTTCAGAATTTTTTCCTCCTTCCAGATTTACATCTTGAGCAGGGGCATCAGAGGATAGCAGTTGTTTATTTTCACGGCCAACCTCAGTAGCCCCTAAGTCAGCAGGAACCACTTCCCTTTCACATAAACCCACACCACAACGATTTTCAACATTAGAAACTTCCAATGTGAAGTCAGGAAACTTATTTACATCCAAAGAACTCGAAATTTCTTCCAAAATACTACCATCTGTGACAATTTTTTGAGCAATTATAGTATCTTCTCCTCCATCATGTAAAATGTTTCCTGCAAATAGCGCAGATGGTGAATGGATTTCAGATGCAACAAGGTTTGTTTTCAAGTCATTTAAATATGTCACGTTTTCGCTTGGAATTGGTATAGTTTCTACAGGATTAGAACAAGCGCCATTATGAGTTGGTAGAGCTGGCACTGCAAAACCTTCAGTACCATAAGCCTCATATCCAAAAGACGTTTGACCCTCTTCTCGAAGAGCCCGAAGACCAGTAGGCACTTCAGGAACATAACCTTTCAAAGTTTTCGGACTTTGACAGCCAGTGGGCAGATTTATATCTGTGACATCAGATGACGAAATTTGGCCTTCAGCTACTTGCTCTTTACTCGAATAAGTAACAGTGGCTTGATTCTCAGGCGGGCTGCCTTGCTCTTCATGCAAAGAATTAATGCCACCCAAGTCTTGTGGTTTTTCCACAGAAGCAAATTTCTCAATTTCCATTGTAGTAGGCTCAGAGTCTAAAGTTGGCTTAGTCACAGATAACAATTCTTTGATCTGCAAACCATGAGCCGGCAGTCCATTCATACTACAGGTGAAGTTGATGGCTTTCGCTGGTTCCGTTTGGGTGCAGGAGATGGCAAAAGACTTCTCCATTTCATCCAATATCAAATCTCCCTCGCCACTAGAAATAGGGTCCCATTTAAGCCAGTCACTGAACATGGAGTGTTGTTGTCCACCTAAAGGTACTTGTTCGACCTTAACAGCCTCCTTGTAAAACTGTTTTTTCCTCAATGCATTTTCTAGGAGTGATCTGACCATGAAAGCAGATCGATTGTGGAAAGTAAATATACGAGAAATATACCAAGACGATTTAAAAGAAAGTAATGCAACGAGTTTAGCAAATCTACCTGCAGTTTTTGGAAATAGCTGCTTTGGCACGTTCCCTGTTGAGCCCAAGCAGAGAGAGCAAATTTGCAACATCTTGAGGCCCTCTAAATTCGGTTACAGAAGGGGCAGCACTAGAGATTATCAGATTTTTTCCCCGTGTCCAATCTACAAGTAGCTGGGCTTAAACAGTTATAACAGATATAAAAATTAAATTATAAGTGATGAGAGTCAAAGTTTTTCTTCCACTCTTTGTTCTCCCTGGTTGAAATTAATGCTATATAGGTGCGAATGATTGATCGAGAGATTAGCAAAGAAACAGGGGATACATTCAATATCAAAATACTAGTATGCAGGCATTGACACATAAGCTACTATCTCTCTTTAGATTGTCATGGTGGTATAGATTAAAATAAGAAAACTGGCATTGCTAGCTTTTAGTTACTTCAGTCTTCATAGAAGTAGTTATAACATGCTTCTTAGAAATTTAAATAAAAATATCCCCAATTAACTCTGCTCTTTTTTTCCTCCATTTAGACATGTTATGATTAAACTACTGACTACTTACTCGTAGCATTTCAAAACTACATCTCTTACCTTGACCAGAAGTGGAGCAACGCTACTAATATTTTCAATCAGTAGAAATTTATTACTTCTATTATTACAACTAAAAATATTCCAAATTTCTAATAATGAATCTATGTTTCCACAAAATATCAAGAACCCTTCCAGTGAATATCCTATTGTACAATTATGACCTTGTGACCTTTGCATCGAACCTTTGTGAGAAAACATGCAAAATCTGTAATCATTCTTCATTTCAATGACAAAATCATGCTCTAAGCCAACAATTCAGCAGCCAAACAGTTCGCTGTTATTTTAAATATGTTGTACCTAGTAAGAATGGCAGGCAGATTATGCTACATTCCATGTATATATTGGGCGACCCTCAGGCCTTAGCTCTCAATCATGTCATTGAGTTACTCCATGTATTGATTGACGTAAAACAGAGTGCCATATGTATAATAATCTAATTGAAAATATGATTGCTCAAGTGGAGAAAATCGTGAAAGATTAGAACAATGTTTTTATAAATTCTATATACTCACCTTGCAATTGGATATTATTTGCCGTCTTGTTTGTGCATCAGAAAGAAGACCAGAGTATTTGATCTCAAAGTACACCCCCCGCTGCACATCAAAAGTGTAGTAAGGATTCTGGAATGGTGAAAACTGAAACATGTTGATCCCTCACCCAAGCTAACGCGAAGGATAAAGAACATCTAAGTTCCATCACACGTCATACAAACTAAGAGTTCTACACAATCAGAGAATTAATCACATCACAACTTCACAAATAAAAATTAACCTCTACAACCTTATTTGCGTTCTCACTTTTATAGGCCAAATTTGAGGAAAACCCTCTTATGGTATCTCCTTGTTCATTCAAAATTGATTGTATACTTTCTAGTGTTGCTTCTAATTCTTGTATCATCACTAGTAACTTTCGGTAAAAGAATTCAAAAACGAGTGGACAGGTATTTGAAGAATCATATTGGGTGTGGCTATATCTTCCTGAGATACCCAACCAAGTTATTAGACTTCTTATACTCGTTATCTTAGAAGTAAAGGGTAATAATTTTCTGTTTGTCAGAAGATTAGCATGAATGAATTGGTTGTTTGCCTTTTTACTTTTGCATTGACGTCCAATTCTTAACCTGTATGCTTGTCTTCTCTCGGAACTAAAGTGCTGCCATGATCTACCTAGGTATTATTTACTTGAAGATATTCATTAATCAAGTAAATAAAATCACTAATCTATGCAATAATGTCATCAACTAAGAAAGGGAGAAATGACATCAACTTACTGCATAGGCACCAAAATCTCATTTTCTGATGTTATATGTATGCTCAAGCAGAAGTTTAAATAACTCAAGTAATATAACTTTGTTTCAAGATCCAAGCTAAAGGAGAGAATTGTTTCACAAAAGAAAGCTTTACCAAATACGTAATCAAACCAGCCATGATCTAATTAGTGCGATCCCGATTTGCATCGAACTTTTAGCAATCATTTATATACAGCAATTCTTAAGCACGAAACAAGAGGCGGCAATAGCAATAGAAGAAAAAGGAACCTTAATGGCGGCTTTGATCATTGGTTGCTTCAACCTAAATGGCAACTTGTCCGAGAAATCAATCGCGATCATATCCACCTAATTATTTAACAAGAAAACATGACATCGATTAAACATATTACAGCGGATAGTAAATTTACCTCAGATACTCAAAGACATAATATACAACCTCTGCGGTTTGACAGGCCTGGTCGAAGGCATTCTGGTTCATAGGTCTAACAGCAACAATATCATAGCTCCTGAGGATAGGGTTCCCGGCATTAAGAGCCGAAGCCTGAGAGGCAATATCTACGATTACCGTGAGACGAGTGTACTGGCGGAAAGAGAAAGAAACGGCGATGTTCATGAGGTCGCGGTGGAACTTAACGGCAGAGAAGAACGCGGAGGAGGAAGGAGTGATTTTAGAGAGAGGGAACAAAGGAGTGGAGCAGCGATCGGACTCGGACATGACGCCCTTGAGGGTGCGATTGTATGCGACGCCGGTGTAGCCGAGCTCCATGGCTTTCAGGGCGAGCTTCAATCGACGACTCTGTAGGGAGGATTTGTCGACGGTGTTGCGGTCAGACTCGTGGTAGGGTATGTTCAAGTCGAAGAAACCCATCTGCTCTGGAGCGGGAGACGGATGCGACAGTGGTGACGGCGATGTGCGAGGACTAGGAATGTCCCAGTATATAGTAGGTTTAAGAAGGTCATTGATGCCGGGATCCGATACTATGGACCTTATCAAGTGCTTAAGAGGGTCGGCAAAGGCAAGGTGGCTTATCGACTCGAGCCGCGGGATCACAAATCTACCCGGTGATCCATGTTTCGCAATTAAAGAGGAGTTTGGGCGAGGCGCACAAGTTGAGTGATCGGCTACCCGCAAGGGCGTCGGATGGAAAAATCATTGTTAGCCCAAGTCGAGCATTAAGCTATCGTGAAGTGAAGAAGGCCGGGCGTTTCTTTTGGGAGGTGTTAGTCGAATGGGAGAACTTGCCGAGGAAGAAGCAACATGGGAGAACTTAGCCGAAATGCGCGAACAATTTCCATCTTTCATCGAGGACAAGGAAACACTTGAAGGGGACGAGAATGATGAAGACGTGGCTAGAAGACTGAAAAACGCGTCAAATCGGGCTTATCATGCGCGCAAGAGATTGGCTCGGTGGGCCGCGGAGGCTAATGCGATGGACACGGGCAGTGGCGGGCGGGGCGACGCGCACAAGGAAAGCGCACACCTACTGGCCGGGAACCTTCTGGGAGCGTGCGGACACGCAGGTACGTGCGAACACGCGCATGAGGACGGATACCCGCAAGAGCTGCGTGAGAATATCGCGCGCACAAACGACACGCGCATGCAGGCGGGACGCGGATGCGCGGAATGGGCGACTAGGGTTGATTGACGGACAAGTCAAGGACTTTGTTGATATCTGACTTGGTTGAGAGGTTGAAGATAGAGATTAATCGCTTTATACATGAGATAATCTTTCGAGAAAAAGGTAAACTTAAGACAAGTCGGTTACAAGGCAGTATTTATTAATTACCGACTTCCGAAGACTGACAAAAGAACCGATATTTGAAGCCAATACTAGAAGACCGACTTCAGCCCAACGAATATTATGACGAAAATAAGTTCTTCTACTTCAACCGACTACCATAAAGTCCAAATATCTGAACAGAAAGTAATCATTGGAAGCATCTGATTGGACCAGCAAAACAAAAAGTAATCATTGATGTTTCCCACCGCTTAAAGTAAAGCAGCTCAACATTAAATGCGTCTTTATCCGTTTCAAACAAGAAGACAAAAGTTACCGTACTATAAATAACAGAATTTATGATAGTACGAGGATTTTATTTTCCTTTTTAGACACACATGGTACACGGACTTATGATGATCTCAGTTTTCAACAAATAACCGACTCCTGTACTCTTGTGAACATAATAAAACCAATCCAATTGAACGATTATCTTTGTTTTCTTTACATCAACTGTATTTAATTTTGAGTTGTTAATTCAAGACAACAACAGTTTGGCGCTAGAAGGAGAGCCGGCGGCCACCTCTACTCTTTCGATTATTTGTCTTGTACACAACGTATCAAAAGGATGTCGAATTCTGGGCGAAATGAACGAAATCCAGATACTGGAATCAATCGTCATCCAACTCATACAACTGGAAATTCTGTTGTGCCATCAACATCAATTGATTATTCAGCTTTATTTCAAGATCCAGAGTTCTTGAAAAATTTAACTGATTTTATGGCACGAACAAGAATAGAACCAACCGCAGCGGTTAATCCACAAACACATCCTACATCAGCTCCACAAAGAAATAATATTCCTGCTACATCACACGCAACTTCTCATCCACGCACACATGAATCACAACATGATGTTGCGTCTCAAAATCGTGGAGTAGTTCCTGTACAAACTCATATTCCAGAAGCAGTTCGATCGGAGGCCACTGCAGAAAGTCACTCCGGACGTCAACCACGACAACCAGCTCCTTCGTTACCAGAGACATTGCAACACGATCAACCGTCTGATTTGCGGCGAACTTTGGAACAAAATCATATTCGTCGTGAACAAAACGAGTTACGTCGTCTAATCGAAAGAAATCGTCTAAGACGCGAATCTGAAGAGCTGGAAATGTTAAGAAAAAGAATTGCAGAGTTAGAAACTCAACAAGATGACCATGAGGGATCACGACGACAAATTCCATCAATGGAAGGGACGTACCAAGAAGTTGAGACTCCCTTAGCCCCTCATTTGACCAGGGAACTTCTTCCAACCAAGGTAAAGGTTCCACAGATCGGTTTATACGACGGAACTTCCGATCCTGATGCTCATCTTGGTCAATATACTTCATGGATGGATCTACATGGGGCAACTGAAGCGCTCAGGTGTCGGATGTTTTCATTAACTTTGGGACCTCGAGCACAAAAGTGGTACCATTCCTTACCTCGATGTTCAATCTCTACATGGCAACAATTGAGAACGGCTTTTCGATCTCATTTTATCGGGGCTCGAGTCTCTTTAATTCCTAAAGAGTCAATTGCAAATATTGTGCAAAAAGACGATGAGAGTGTAAAAGACTATATTACTCGGTTTAATGAACGTATACAGAATATGGAACAATGTCATCCCGAGACGTTGTTAGTTACAGCTATAGCTGGGTTGAAGCCAAATTCATTGTTCCGTTGGAGTATCTGCCAGAATAAACCGACTTCGTTTCAAGACTTCTTGGTCCGGGCTCAACAACATATTATAGCCGAAGAATCAATGTCAGTTCCTAATATCGACTTCTCTTCACCAAAGTCGGATGTCGGACAAGAGTCGAAGAAGAAGAAAAATAAATTCTTCAAACCAAATAAGTCTCGATTTGGGAATCCAAAGATGCCCGAGGTGCAAGAAGCTAGAACTAAATATCTTAATGAAGTCAAATCTAGCTATCAGACGGTATTCTCGGCAGGGGCAGCAACTATATTTGAGGAACTAAAAGGAAAAGGAATTCTTCCTGACCCTCGACCTGTCAGAACTCCTGAAGAAAGACTTGATAAAACGAGATATTGTTCATACCACAAGTCGGCAGGCCATAATACTGATGAATGTCTCGGTTTACTTTCTGCCTTACTGCGACTTATTGGGCATCCTCAAGTCCAAAAGTTTGCCAAAAATGTAGATTATAAACGAAAGGGAAGACTGCCGGATTTGCCAGATGAAGATGAAGATGAAGGACATCCAATTAATCCGAAACGAGTAAGGTCAAGTGATAAAGAGATATACATGATGGATCAAGAAGAAAGTGATTTGAAGAAGAATGCTGAAATGATGTACAGAGGAGGATACCACAATCCTGATAATTCTCATCATGTTTCTCGGGTCAATAACAGTAGCAATGTGACGTTTGAGTCACGGCGGCAAATGAAGGCGTATGCTCGAAAAGCTTTCAATTCGGGCAAAACTGTTTTGACGACCGACCTCCGAGATAAAATTAACGCTCGAAATAATTGTCCAATAACATTCAATGTGGATGATGCTAGTTATTTTGCTCACCCTCATGCTGATCCCTTAATAATCACGGCACCCATTTGTGGTATACCGATACATCGCATGTTAGTAGACACAGGAGCATATTCAAGCATTTTAATGTTACGAACATTCGAGCAAATGGGAATTGATCCCGCCGAATTAAAACCCTGCAAAGATCAGGTGCAAGGCTTTAATGGCACGATTACATCAACCCTCGGTGAAATTACAAATGCCAATTCGGTTTGGAATCCCTGGACAAGCTTCTAAAGTCATTATGGAGACATTCAAAGTGATGGATCTCAAAAATCAATATAATGCCATCATTGGAAGGACAGCTCTGTATAAACTTCGTGCAGCCGTCTCGATTTTCCATTATGCTTTGAAATTTCCTACTAACAGTGGAGAAGGAACTCATTATGGAGATCAATATGAAGCTCGTGGAATGGTGTGAGTCAAACCTTGGCATGAACCGTGCGTACCCATACACATGATGGAGAATATCAAGCAGAGTCAAGAAAATTCAACTCTCGTCAACTCGGAATCTATCAATACCGAGATGGAGCCTGACCTGATTGTGGAATTAGAAAGATATAGCAATGATTTGGCTTTTGATTGTGGGAAACGTCCAGGAAAAGAACCAATCAAAGAAGATGAACTTGATCCCCGAACCCAATTCAAGGAGAAAAGTAAACTTGAACGAGCTCAACCATCAGAAGAAGTTGAAGTAATATTCATTGACGATCCTGTCAGTCACAAGTCGGTTCAAATTGGGGCAAACCTAGAAGAACCGATACGAACTCGGCTCATTCAGTTCCTCAAAGCTAATTCCGATGTATTTGCCTGGAAACATGAAGATATGAAGGGAATTGATCCAAAGGTTGCATCTCACCGACTAAATTTGGATCCAACGATCAAACCAGTGGTTCAAAAGCGGCGCAAACTTGGTCCAGATCGGCAAAAGGCTCTCGAAGAAGAAGTTCGGAAATTGATCGATAATAAGTTTATTCAGGAAACAAAATATCCGACTTGGGTGTCAAATCCTGTTCTGGTGAAAAAGAGTTCCGGTGCATGGCGACTCTGTATCGATTTTACCGACTTAAATAAAGCCTGTCCCAAGGACAGTTACCCTTTACCACATATCGATTACATGGTGGATGCCACAGCTGGACATGAATTAATGAGCTTCATGGACGCCTATTCGGGATATAATCAAATTCCCATGGGTCCTCAAGAAGCGGAGCATACATCTTTTTATTCAGCCCGAGGATTATATTGTTATACCATGATGCCGTTCGGCTTGAAAAATGCTGGGGCCACATATCAAAGATTGGTTAATAAAATGTTTGCCAAGCTTATCGGCCAAACAATGGAAGTTTACGTTGACGACATGCTTGTAAAGTCGGTTTGTGCAGTCGATCCTATTGATCGCTTGCAGGAAATGTTTAATATCCTGAGGAAATATTCTATGGTACTAAATCCGAAGAAGTGCACTTTTGGTGTCGGCTCTGGTAAATTTTTGGGCTACATCGTAACCCAACGAGGCATCGAAGCAAATCCCTTGAAGATAAAAGCTATTATGGATCTATCACCTCCTACGTCGGTAAAAGGAGTTCAAGCTCTAACCGGCCGACTTGCTGCTTTAAATCGGTTTCTATCAAAGTCAACTGATCGATGCAAACCCTTTTTTGGATCGATAAAGAAAGGAAAATGCTTTGAATGGACCAAGGAATGTCAGCAA